AACTCCTACCACCTTCTTCCTTATGGGGATTCCAGGTTTGCAGTCTTCACATCTTTGGCTGGCCATCTCACTGACTCCCATGTACATCATAGCCCTGGCAGGAAACACCCTCATCATGACTGTAATCTGGATGGATTCCACTCTACAAGAGCCCATGTATTGCTTCCTGTGCATTCTGGCTGCTGTGGACATTGTTATGGCCTCCTCTGTGGTACCCAAGATGGTGAGCATCTTCTGCTTAGGAGACGGCTCCATCAGCTTTAATGCTTGTTTCACTCAGATGTACTTTGTCCATGGAGCCACAGCTGTGGAGACAGAGCTGCTGCTGCTGTCAGTTTTGATTGCAAATGTAGCCATTTGCAAATCTCTACATTGCAAGAGAATTCTGACTCCTCAAGTGATGCTAGGTATGACTGTGGCCATCATAATCAGAGCAGTCATATCCAAGACTTAATTGAGTTGGATGGTGAGTCGTCTGCCTTTCTGTGGTTCCAATGTGATTCTCCATTTCTGCTGTGAGCACGTGGCTGTCATTAAGTTAGCAAGTGCCAACCCTATTCCCAAAAAGTCTAATGTATTCCTCCATTATTGTAGACTGTGATGTAGCCTTTATTGCTGCCTCCTATGTATTGATTCTCAGGGCAGTATTTGGTCTATCTTCAAAGAATGCTCAGTTGAAAGCATTAAGAACAGGTGGTTCCTATATGGGGGATAAGGCTCTGTATCTGCTACTTGGAATGGCATCCATTTTTGTAGCACGCCTATGGCAAGATATAGTGTACTTGAACACCTAAATGTTTCTATCTTACTTATAATGGTGATTTCACTCACATTAAATCTCATTGCCTCTGTGGGTTAGAATATCAGGAGGACCAAACAAATGCAGGAGAGAATATGGAGTTTACTGATGTGCTGCCACTTTGACTACTCCTATTATGGTTCCTGAACAAAAAAATCTGTTTAGACCTTATGCTTTCAAAGACATTTAGAATTCTGATATGAAGCTGTAATATTTATACTGTTTAACTTCTTAATTTTTACAAGGCTAAGGATAAAATTATTCTGATTTTTCTGAGATTTTTAAATATTTCAATCAACTGATACCTCAATTGGAGATATAGTCAGGTAGAAATATATTCTTTATAAACTATTTTCTTAGCTTCAGACCCATATTTGCAAATCAATATCCTAGCAGTACCTCTGTGGAATAAACCAAGAGTCTTCATCTACTTGTGTAGTTGGTTGATTAAAGAATTCATAGAGGTACTGTGTTGATAGTGAGTTATTACAATCAATATATTTTCTGTAACAATGGACACAATGGAGTGAAAAACACAACCTACAGAATGGGAGAAAATATTTTTGTGTCACATATTTGGTATGGAGCTTGTATCCAGAATAGAGAACTCTAACAACTGAAAAATCAAATACCCTAATTAAAACATGAGCCAAGAACTTATTAAACATTTCTCTGTAGATGTTATGCAAGTGGACAAGAAGTATATGAAAACATGTTCCACCTCAGTAATCATTAGAGAAAAGCAAATCAAAACCACAAGGAGATGATGCCACAAACCCATTAGGATGCCAACCATCTAAAACCACTATTACATGTTGGTGAAGATGCAGAAAAATTGTAACCCTTGTGCACTGTCTGTTTAACTGCGAAATAGTGCAACCCCAGTGAGAGTTGTGAAGGTTCCTCAAAATAGCAAAAGTAGGACTCCTAGTGGTGGGTGTTGGGCACAGCAATTAAGATGTTGCTTCAGATGCATCTTGTATCAGAGTGCCTGATTTCCAGGCTCAGTTATGCTCCGAATTTGAGTTTCCTTTTAATGCATACTCTGGGTGATGGGTCCTTGCCACCAACTTGGGAGACTCAGGTTGAGTCTCTGATTCCTGGCTTTGACCAGGCTCAGCCCTGGCTGTTACAAGCATTTGTTGAATGAACAGATGTATAGGTGATATCTGTCTCTCTGCCTTTTAAATAAACAAAATAAATGAATTAAAAATTTAGGAAAGAAATAGGACTTGTATATGATGAAGCTATCCACTTCTGGATATACATTCAAAATATTTGAAAGTAGGGTTTTAAAGAGACTTTAATTTGCACAATCATGTACATAGTAGTAATTAAGTACACCATCAGTGGGAATAGTTGTACAACGAAGTGAAATCCATTATGATTGCTATTGTTTTAATCTTGACTTTCTGGCTTACTATCATAGAGACTTACTATGCACCTCAATTTCATCTGTAAAACACAGATGTAACAATGGCATATGTTTTAGAGGGTAGTGAAAATTGAAAGAGACAATCTTGGGAAGGCATTTATTAGGGTGGCTGTTACACAGCATGCTTGCACAAATAAAATAAGTGTTAGGACTTTGGCTTTCCTTTAGGATGTACTTACATTCTCAGTCTAACTTTTAGTTGTCCTTTGAGATTTGAAGACACTAAGACTCTTCAGTCATTAAGCATCTGCCTCCTCCTGCATGCTGGAAAGCCCCAGGGGCCAGAGCAGAGAGCAAAATCAGTCTTTGGAGTAGTTACATGTTTGTCCACTGGGCAAATACCAAGGGAAGTCAGAGTATCCAGGGAAAAGGCAGGATGACAGAGTATATAAAGGGGAAAGAAGGTTCCCCAGGGATGTTCTCTGAAAAGGACAATACTCCTCACCATGACTTTACATTGTTCTTCTGTGATCTCCTGTGGCTCTTCCTGCTCCTCCTGTAGCAGGATTCTGGGAAATTATCTTTCTTTGGAGTGAAACAAATGTGGACTACCAGATACAAACCATCACAGAAGTTAACAGAGAAAACTCCAGAGATGTGGGTAATTGACCAAGGGATCAGATGGTAGAATGGTGGAGTTTAAATGGAGCTAAATTTCCCTAGAAGTGAGGCAAGATGCACTGAATCCTAATTTTAAGGGCTCCTAGGTGTGATGGGAACTGCCAATAACAAGATCTTCTTCTGGAAATGATGGGAGGATGATGGAGGCAGGAGAGGGAACAGGAAATGTCTGATTAATTTGATTCAAAACTTACAGAAGAGCTAAGTTCAACCTTCTGATCATACAGAGCTGACTTTTAGTGACCAAGAGGAGATGGTAGAAACCTGGTAGTATGGCTGAGAGACACTCAGGTAGGGTTGTTGGGTCTCACAAACAGAAAGACTCCAAATGGGTAACACATCAGTGTGCTTTTTCTTTAAGATAATTTAAATTTGAATTCTGTGTCCTCTATCTTGTAAATAGATATGAAACATCCTCAGGTATCCTAGGATTTAATTATTGAAGTTAAGAGACTTGTCTAAGCTACTTTTCAGTGATTGACCCACCATTTCTTCATGTGAAAATCTCTGCAAGGCTAAAAGTGAAAGTGCCAGAAATGTGCCTTCAGAGTTTGTTGAAAAACATGAAACATTAATCAGGCAGCGACTGTGCCTGTATCTTGGTGTGGTTAGTGGCTATGTGGGTGTGTTAATGTGTTCATATATTTTAAAATTTTCCAAGTTGTATATCTGATCTGAGATTTCATAGTATGTATGTTCACTTCTATTAAAACAATAAAAATAAAATGAGGGACCACACAGTAATGCTAAATTCTTTGGAGTGACCAAATAAAGAATGAAAAGAAGTCACTGGGTTGGCAATAAACCTTTGATGGGGAACACTATTGACCTTAGCAAGTCACTTTAAAAAAAAGTATTTATTTTGTTTATTTGAAAGGCAGAGTGAGAGAGAGGAATAGACAGGAAGAGATATTCCATCTGCTGGTTCATTCTCCAAATGGCCATGATGGTTAGGACTGGACCAGGCCAAAATCAGGAGCCAGGAATTCCATCTGGGTCTCCCGTGTGAAGGTGGTAGGGGCCCAACACTTGAGTCACCTTCCACCACCTTCCCAAGCACTTTAGTAGGGAGCTGGGTAGGAAGTAGAGCAGCTGCTTGAACCCGGGAGCCAGGAACTCAATTTGGGCCTCCCACATGGAGAGCAAGGCCCAAACTACTTGAGCCAGCATTGTTGCCTCCACAGGGTTCCCATGATCAGGAAGCTGGATTTGGGAGCAGAGTTGGGGCTCAAAATCAGACATTCTGATATGAGATGCAGATGTTCCAAGTGGGATCTTAACGGTACACTGAAATTTCACTCATAAACCAAGCTTTGTGAGTGGGTTACATTGAAGTATGCAAGATTTTTATATTGTTTTCTAAGGAAAAAGAAACTAAGGGTTCCAGTGAAGATCAACCAGCATCTCCCAATGCTGAGCGGTACCATCAGAGAAGATCCCTTTGTAAGAAGTGTTCTCAGATTGCTGAGGGAATGTGCATATGCCCAAATATCATATTAAATTATGGAAACAAATCCTCCTTAGGGGAAGACAACTTAAGGGATAGCACACAGGAATTGGAATGGTAATTAATGCTGATACCTTATATTCAGGCTTACCTGATCAGATTAGTATACATTATATGATGTGGTGAAACCTGAATGAAGCAGATGGAGGATAGCTGTAGCAATAAATAGAAATTGACAAGTGTTGGAGCTCAGTTCCTTGCTGTTCAGTGTACTAGCTCTCTTTGTCTCATAGAAACAGGTCAAGTGAAACTCCTAAAGTTTGTTTTATTACAACCCACAGTTGTTTTCTGGGTCTTTAATATTTGGCTTTTTAGGTGCCTGGGAGTCACAGCTGAAAAGACTGAACTTCACCCTCAAATTTACTGCCCACCTGCTTTGTGATACTGTATGAAATACTTAATATCATTTAAGTTATCACCCACTGTGTGATATGGCTGTGTGTCTTATTTCATAAATGTATATCCATATAATACAATCCATGCTTTTCATTAATGTATTTACAAATAGTATGCTCATTAAGAAGTGTTTGAATTATATCATTGAACTACATGAAATTTTTTTTATTTTAAAAAATATAAATGAAAAGAAAGTGTTTTATTTTCTAAAGGATAAAGTTTCCTCTTTGTCCGGTTCTCCAGATAATTTACAACACAGAAGGAGTTAGCAACATTGAAGAATCATAAGGACTTACCAGGTATCATCTATGAAGTATGTTGAAAGTTCTGTTTATAGTTATTTAATTGGTTAATTGAACCAAGTTCTACAGGAAATGAAGACTGAAACTGAGAACCTTGGGATTATTAATATTTCCAGAAGATTTACTATCATCTATGAAAAATGATAGCTTTTTCTCTTCTTTTTCTGAAAAGATTAATGTACTTAAACAACAAGGATGCTTCAATCATGTTGTGTTGACACACTTTACTGAGTTTATAGAATATGCACATGTGATGCCAAGAATTTATCATTTCATTCAGCAATTATAAAGCAATTATCACCTATTACTAACTAATCAAACATAGACAAAAAAAATTCTTTCCTCGTATTTAGCATTCATTTTTGGAACCTGTTTACTGTAATGGGTATGCATATTTGTTTTGTTGTGGACTCTTAACAATAAATATTAATGTAACCTCATAACCAAACATATAGAATTAAGTGCATAGAATAAAGTCACAGGTGGGAGGCTCATCATAAATTTAGGTCTCTCATCAATCAGCATGGGGGATGCTGTAAAACTTAGAACAAAAGATCTACTTAGCCTACATATGGGTAGAGGGAAGAGAGGGTGCAGAGATGACTTCTAGAGGAGGTATTCCAAGAAACTGAAAAGATGTTGGCTAGACAACTCATAATAGGAAGGATGGGAAATGCAGGAGACAAATTTTATCTGATTCTGATGCCAAAATGAGATGTAGAATTCCCTCAGGCTTTCCCAGTACAACAAATGGGACAGATTTTACAGGACTGTACCCTTTTCTGAACATCACTTTATGTATCAACAGGCAATCAATCTCACCTGGGATGCTGGGGCCATCCTCCAACTACACAATGGAAACTCCTGCCACCTTCTTCCTTGTGGGGATTCCAGGTTTGCAGTCTTCACATCTTTGGCTGGCCATCTCACTGACTCCCATGTACACCATAGCCCTGGCAGGAAACACCCTCATCATGACTGTAATCTGGATGGATTCCACTCTACAAGAGCCCATGTATTGCTTCCTGTGCATTCTGGCTGCTGTGGACATTGTTATGGCTTCCTCTGTGGTACCCAAGATGGTGAGCATCTTCTGCTCAGGAGACAGCTCCATCAGCTTTAATGCTTGTTTCACTCAGATGTACTTTGTCCATGGAGCCACAGCTGTGGAGACAGGGCTGCTGCTGGCCATGGCTTTTGACCGCTATGTAGCCATCTGCAAGCCTCTACACTACAAGAGAATTCTCACCCCTCAAGTGATCCTGGGTATGACTGTGGCCATCACCATCAGGGCTATTCTGTTCATGACTCCACTGAGTTGGATGGTGAGTCGTCTGCCTTTCTGTGGTTCCAATGTGGTTCTCCATTCCTACTGTGAGCACATGGCTGTGGTTAAGCTAGCATGTGCTGATCCCATGCCCAGCAGTCTCTATAGTCTCACTGGTTCCTCTATTATTGTGGGCTGTGATGTGGCCTTCATTGCCTCCTCCTATGTGTTGATTCTCAGGGCAGTATTTGGTCTGTCTTCAAAGAATGCTCGGTTGAAAGCATTAAGCACATGTGGCTCCCATGTAGGCATTATGGCTCTGTACTATCTACCTGGGATGGCATCCATTTATGTAGCCTGGCTTGGGCAGGCCACAGTTCCCTTGCACACCCAAGTGCTGTTAGCTGACTTGTACCTGGTGATTCCACCCACCTTAAATCCCATCATCTATGGCATGAGAACCAAACATATCCGTGAGAGAATATGGCATTTTGTGATGTACTGCCTGTTTGATCATTCCCATCATCATTCTTGAACACAGAGTATTTTAGACTTTGAGATTTCAATCAAAGATATATTGGAGAGCTATGGAACTGGATTTATTTACTTGGAACTATGAGAATTTTAATACAAAGTTGTAATGGGTATCTTCGTTTAAATTTTAAATTTCTGTAAGAATAACAAAATTATTTAGATTTTCTGTCATCATTTTTAATGATTTTTGTCATGTTAGTGTCTGAATCAGAGATACATTAAGGCAGAGTACGTACATTTGAGAGATTATCATTTCCTTTATTTCAGATCCATAAATGCAAACTAATATCCCAGCAGTACTTCTGCTGAATAAACAGCCTTTGGTATTTCTACACACCCCCACCTCCCCTACATAGCTGATTTTCTCAGAGTTGTTACCCACCTGATGTGATTATATGATGTGATTATATGGAATCAGATGAGCCCATCTGATTTAGGACAGTGCTCACACCTAGGCCAAAATCGTTTTCTAACCAAAATGGATTCCTGTTTACATGACAAATTGCAAAACTGGTGGCAATGTTGCAGCACAGGAATTTATACAAAGAAACCAGGTCAACAGTAAGAAAAGCCAATTTGCAAGATAGAGTAGGGGCCAGCGCCATGGCTCACTTGGTTAATCCTCCGCCTGTGGTGCCAGCATCCCATATGGGCACCGGGTTCTAGTCCCAGTTGCTCCTATTCCAGTCCAGCTCTCTGTTGTGGCCTGGGAAGGCAGTGGAGGATGACCCAGGCACTTGGGCCCCTGAACCTATGTGGGAGACCCAGAGGAAGCTCCTGGGTCCTGGCTTCGGATCAGCACAGCTCCGTGGCAGTCATCTGGGAGGTAAACCAATGGAAGGAAGACCTTTCTCTCTCTCTCTCTCTCTCTCTCTCTCTCTCTCTCTCTGACTGTCTAACTCTGTCAAATAAAAAAAAATAAAAAGATAGGGTAAATAGAATGATTTTCCAACTTCCTGGTATCATTTCTCTTCGGATATCAGAGTGCACATCCCTGTTAAGTTCTGTAAGACACCTCTATATCCTTTAAGTTATCCCCTCTTGTTCAGATGGTTGGATTTGGTGTAGATCAGGTTTATGCTCTGAAGTCACAGAAACTAAGTCAATGTTACTGTGTTTTTGTAGATCTTTTAATATTTTTCCTAGTCCTGCTCTATGTAACCCAACTTTAAAACATATAAAAGGGAGAGAGATCAAATATAGCACATGTCTTTCCTCTTCTGGGCACTTCTCAGGTGTTGTGTTTTGGGATCAAAAGGTTAATAGAGAATAGTGCTTGAACTGATAATAAAGTGAAATGTCACTACTCTTTTCTATGTCTCCAGATACATCTATAAATTTTGCTTTTATCTTCCCCTTTCATAAAGTCTTCTTTTCTTTGTTAATCAGTATATTAAAGAGATATTCATACATTAAAAAAAAAAGAATTGCTTAAATTCTAATATTCAGATTTAAGCATGTGAACATTACTTTTAAACATAAAATTAAAGGTATTCATCATACTTTGCTATACTACCAACATTAAATTTCTTTGGAGCAAAAGTCAAATTGTTTAAAGAAAGTCTGTAACATACCTAAGGAATATCTTCTTAAGTATGAACATTACTTTCTCCACGTAAAGGCCTCTTTAGTTTCTAAATTATCCAACTCTAGAAATCACTACTCAGAGACTTATCATGGTCCAAAGATGAGGAAAATGTAACCAAGAGTGGTCATCACAGTGTATGTACACACACACACACACACACACATACACATTTAAAAAGAGAGCATAGAAGTGTATGCAATTCTAGAATTGCAAGCCCTCAGAAGAAGCATATTATAAACCCCTTCTTAGAAAGTGATTTTGTTCACTGACTATATCACAGGCTAAATTAAATATTATGCCATATTCAAGTAACAGTTGAGGCAATAGCAGAGGCAACTCAATTTTTTTTTTTTTTTCCTGATTGCCAGTTAAATAAAGTGCTGGTGAAGATGTAGAAAGGTTGGAAACCTATGTGCTGTTAGTCTGACTATGAAATAGTGAAATCACATTATAAAAAAAAGTAGGGAGTTTCCTTAAGAAATTAAAAACTGGACTTCTATATGATGTAGAAATTATGGCTGGTGCCGCGGCTCACTAGGCTAATCCTCCGCCTTGCGGTGCCGGCACACGGGGTTCTAGTCCTGGTCGGGGCACCAGATTCTGTCCCGGTTGCCCCTCTTCTAGGCCAGCTCTCTGCTGTGGCCTGGGAGTGCAGTGGAGGATGACCCAAGTGCTTGGGCCCTGCACCCCATGGGAGACCAGGATAAGTACCAGGCTCCTGCCATTGGATCAGCGCGGTGCGCCGGCCGCAGCGCGCCGGCCGTGGCGGCCATTGGAGGGTGAACCAATGGCAAAAGGAAGACCTTTCTCTCTGTCTCTCTCTCTCACTGTCCACTCTGCCTGTCAAAAAAAAAAAAAAAAAAGAAAAAGAAATTATACTTCTGGGTGTGCATTCAAAGGGATTGAAGGCAAGGTCTTAAAAGAGATATTTGTATAGCCATGTTTATAGTAAGAATTAAGCATACTATCAGTGTGAATAGTTGTATTACAAAGTGGAATCCTTTATGATTGTCAGAATTCGCTCTCTTTGTGTTACTAAATTTGTGCACTATTCTCTATAAGATGTAGATGTAATGATGGCAGTCACTTCAGATGTTTGTGAAAATTGAATGAGATAATATTGGAGAGGTATATTTTTAATTTTTTTAATTTTATTTTTATTTATTTGAAAGGCAGCATTACAGACAGAGGAAGAGACAGAGAGAAACAGGTAGATAGATATAGAGAGATCTTTCATTCTCTTGTTCACTCCCTAAATTATCACAACTGCAAGGAGTTTCACCTGGATCTCCCACAATAGTGGCATGGGCCCAAACACCTGAGTCATCCTCTGCTGCTTTCCCAAGCAGGAAGCTGGATTGGAAGTGGAGCAGCTGGGACTAGGATTGGTGGCTTAACCTGATGTGTCGCAACACAGGCCTCTGTGGAGGCATTTGTTAAGGTGTCTTATAAAAACACATATAAAAACAGCATACTTTTATAAATCCAACCATCTTGGGTCTTTTGTTTCTGTTTCAAGGTGCTTTCTCTGAATTCTCTTAAAAAATATTGAGGAAAATTGAATCAAACAATAAGTTTATTTTGGTGCAAAAAAAATTAAACATCCATGTATATGAGGGGTCTTCAAAAGATTCATGGAAATGGGTATGATGAAAAACTATGAATGGATTCAAATTTTTGTGCAGCAAGATAAATATTTTATTTCCTTTTTCATGAACTGTTTGAAGTAATCTTGTGTATTCTTAGTCTAAATATTAGCTATCCTGAAAGACTTAAAGAAACAAAGACTACTCATTAACTAAGCATCTGCCTCTTCCCACAAGCTGGAAATCTCCAAGGGCCAGAGTACAATGAAAAATCAGTCTCTGGAGGAATTACAGTGTTTGGCTGCTGGGTAAAGACTAAGGAAAGTGGTTGTCCAGGGAAAAGGTAGGATAATATAAAATCTAAAGGGCAGAGAGGGCTCCCCCGGGAGGTCTCTGAAAGGGGCAGTGTTCCTCACATGACTCTACATTGTTCATCTATGCTCTCCTGTGGCTATTCCTGAAGGGTCCTGTAAAATTTTCCTTCTTTAGAGTGAAAGAAATGTGGGCTACCAGGCAGAGTAACAGAGACAGTTTAATAGAGAAAATTCCAGTGATGTGGGTAACTGGCCAGGGGTTGAGGTGTTGGGCTGAAGGAGCCTGAAGGGTAGGGTCATGCCAGAAGTGAGCTATAAGTCCTCAATTCCACTACAAAGGGCTTGGCAGGCCTGGAGGAGACTGGTTATACCAAGACCTTCTTCTGGAGATGAGGTGAGAAGGAAGGACATGGGAAAGGGGAAAAATGGAACCTCTGAATACTTTTATTCAAAGCTGAGAGAACGGGCAAGTCGAAATCTAGGATGGTGGAAAGACAGTTTCAGAGACCAAGAAGAGTCATGAGAAAAGAAACCAACTCTAAGGGTGATTGGAAAGGTATTTTGTTGGAGGGGGGTACAGGTAAGGGTACAGGATCATTATAAACAAAAAGGTTTCATTCAGAAGAGCTACACAATAGTGCTTTTATCTTTAAGATATTTTAAATTTGAATCATGTAATCTCCAACCTGTAAATAAGAATGAAAGATCCTCACATGTCCTAGGATTTAGTTATTGAAGTTAAGTGACTTGTTTAAGCTGGTTTTTTTTTTTTTTTTGACCTTCCAGTTTTTCATGTGAATGTCTCTGAAGGGTTGTAAGTGAATATGCTAGAAATGTTTCTTGTGAGAGTTTGTCCAGGACTTGCTGAAAACAGTGCAATCATGAGGAATGTTGTATCTTGATCTGGGTAGTGGCTATGTGGGTGTGTTCATGTGTTCACATCAAAATTTGTTGTTGTATGCTTGAGATTTATACACTTTGTAGTATGAACATTTACTGCCATTAAAATATGAACAAAAATGAGGAACCATTTAGTTGTGAATGTTTTGGAGAGATCAAGTAGAACAAAGATTGAAATCACTAGATTGACAAGTAGATCTTTGATGGAGAGCAATACTGATCTTGGTAAGAAACTTCAGTATTAACAGGTTGAATGAAATAGAAATTCTAAAACAAGGCTGGTATTGCAGCTCACTTGGTTAATCCTCTGCCTGTGGTGCCAGCACCCTGGGTTCTAGACCCAGTTGGGATGCCGGTTCTGTCCCGGTGCTCCTCTTCCAGTCCAGCTCTCTGCTGTGGCCCTGCACCCGCATGGGAGACCAGGAGGAAGCACCTGGCTCCTGGCTTCAGATTGGTGCAGCACGCTGGCCATAGAGGCCATTTGCGGGGGTGAACCAACGGAAAAGGAAGACCTTTCTCTCTGTGTCTCTCTCTCATTGTCTAACTCTGCCTGTAAAAAAAAAAAAAAGTTCTAAAACAAAGGCACAACATATCAAACCAAATGTCCTGTGTTTGAAAAGACTAATAACATATGTAAATATGTAGAAAGGCTAATCAAGAAGAGAAGTAAATGAACACACAAAACACTGTCAAAGTTACAAATGTTAAAACCCCTTAGAAGTTGACAAGGCTGGAGAAAGGAGGAATGGTAGAGGACATCTGCTAAGGCTGCCCTTGAAAGAATGATAGATTTAAGCAGCAGCCAGGACAGGAAAACAGTTGATCATTAGCTGGTGGGGATAGGAATTCTGTAGGTTTTCCCCAGTTCTTAAGCAGTGATGCCCAACCCTACATCTGTAGCAAGCGGAAAAATACACAGTAGTTGTAAGGATATCCTGAATTGTTTTTCACCCCTTATCACCATTCTACTTTGTTTTCCCTTGTTTTCTTATGATCACAGAGGATGTCTCACCCAGTGGCTATCCACGACAATTCTTACAATCTTACTATGGTGCAGAACCCACTGCTTTATTCAGTCTGTTCCATGATATAGGACTTCTCAGATTTAAGGTTTTGGTTTTTCATTTGTTATTAATTTTATTGTTTCAATAATGACCACAGTTTGCACATATGTCCTACATTTAGGGTTTTGGTAAACTCCTGAGGACTTTCCTTCACTCAAGTGTGTTGCTGGTACCTGATATAGGATCAATAAATACTTGAATTTCTAGAAGGTAAATACATGGTTAGGATGGAGAACCATGCGAATGCAGGTGGGATCCTGAGCATAAGATCCCAACAATCTGACCCAGCCAATGATTCTGGGAGGGGCCAGGTACTCAAGTAGAAACACTACACAAGGAAAGGGAAATGGGAAATTTCCCAAGTGCTTCTGGAAACCTGGAAGACCTTTACTGAGGGGAAATATAGGAAGAAATAGCTAAAGGCAGAGTGGTGAAAAGGATGGACATCATAATTGCCTGATGGGTTTATGTATGTGTATGTGGCCAGTGTTCATAGTCTAGTTTTTGTCTAGTATTCTTGAACTGATGGACACCTGGGAGTCACAGCTGAAAAGACCCTGACTCAACTCTTAAATTCACCACATAGTCGCTATGTGATCTTGAAATATTTAATCTCATTTGAATTGTGCAACTGTCTTACATAGATACTTATCCTATTTTACAAATGGAGAAATATGCTCAGCATATTTAATACTTTTTAACACAATCCTGGGGATAGTATGTTCATTGTAGATGCTTTCTACTCTGAAGGATAAAAGCTTCCCTCTTATCTGCTTGTCTTGGCAGTTTATCACGCAGAAGGAGAATGTTATATTTAAGAATAATAAAAATATACTTGGAGGCACTCATCTAAGATGTAACCCAAGATCTGTGATTATTTAGTTCTTAATTTAACAAAGTTCAAAAGGAAACCTAGACTGAAATTTAGTGAAGACATAATATAATTATTTGCTGGTATTCTATTATCTTCTGTGGAAAGCAATAATATTATCTAAAAGGCTTGTTTTCTTGAACCATTGATGTATTTCTTCAATCACAAGAATGTTTACTTAATGTCTTTCCTATTACTCTGGTGAGGATACAAAGTGTGACATATTTGATGTCAAGCATTTCACTATTTCATTCAACAACTATTAATTATTATTAACTAATTTGTCAGAGATAAAAGATAAATTCTGTCCATTGATTTATCATTTGTTCTGTGGGAACTGTTTACTATATTGAGGGTGCATGTTTTCCTTTAAAAGATTTGTGCACTACAGCTATGATAACTTACATAGTACTAGGCCATGAAGAAGAGACATACAAAGCAATAGGTTGCATTTAAGAATGGGTAGCTTAGGTTCATAAGCAGTCAACATGGGAGATACCATAAAAGCTTAAAACAAAGATCCCTGCTTACCCTAAACATGACATGGGGGAAAGAACAGAGACTTTCCAAAAGAGGTTAGCGTTGAACTAATCCTTGAATGATGAACAAAAATTAGTAAAACAGATAATGTTGGGAAGAATGGAAGTTGGAGCAAGACAGCTTTAACTATATGCCAGTTTTCTGATCCTGAAAATGCCACCACACTTAAAATTTCTCAGGCTTTCCCAACACCACAAATAGGAACAGATTTTGCATGATTGTCTCCTTTTCTGACATCACATTATGTATCAACAGGAAATCAGTTTCACCTGGGATGCCAGGGCCACCCTCCAATCAAACAATGGGAACCCCTGCCACCTTCTTCCTTGTGGGGATTCCAGGTTTGCAGTCTTCACATTTTTGGCTGGCCATCTCACTGACTCCCATGTACACCATAGCCCTGGCAGGAAACACCCTCATCATGACTGTAATCTGGATGGATTCCACTCTACAAGAGCCCATGTATTGCTTCCTGTGCATTCTGGCTGCTGTGGACATTGTTATGGCCTCCTCTGTGGTACCCAAGATGGTGAGCATCTTCTGCTCAGGAGACAGCTCCATCAGCTTTAATGCTTGTTTCACTCAGATGTACTTTGTCCATGGAGCCACAGCTGTGGAGACAGGGCTGCTGCTGGCCATGGCTTTTGACCGCTATGTAGCCATCTGCAAGCCTCTACACTACAAGAGAATTCTCACCCCTCAAGTGATCCTGGGTATGACTGTGGCCATCACCATCAGAGCTGTCATATCCATGACTCCACTGAGTTGGATGGTGAGTCGTCTGCCTTTCTGTGGTTCCAATGTGGTTCTCCATTCCTACTGTGAGCACATGGCTGTGGTTAAGCTAGCATGTGCTGATCCCATGCCCAGCAGCCTCTATAGTTTAATATGTTCTTCTATTATTGTGGGCTGTGATGTGGCCTTCATTGCCTCCTCCTATGTGTTGATTCTCAGGGCAGTATTTGGTCTGTCCTCAAAGAATGCTCGCTTGAAAGCATTAAGCACATGTGGCTCCCATGTAGGCATTATGGTTCTGTTCTATCTACCTGGAATAGCGTCCATCTATGTGGCCTGGCTTGGGCAGGCCACAGTTCCCTTGCACATCCAAGTGCTGTTAGCTGACCTGTACCTGGTCATCCCACCCACTTTAAATCCCATCATCTATGGCATGAAGACCAAGCAAATTCAGAAGGGAATATGGAATTTGCTTATGCACTGCCTATTTGGACATTGAGATATGGTTCTTGAAACACGAAATCTGTTGAGACTTTGAGATTTCCAGGCAGCTCAAAGATGTGTTGGAGTTTTGCTGGGCTGGACTGGATCACTGGACATTATAGGTTTGATGAATCTGTAATGGGTATCCTCCATCACTTCTCACTTTCTAACAAAAATGGGAACTGAATGATTATGATATTCTAATGACATTTTAATCACTTCAGTCAACTTGTAGTTGCTGAGAGATAAGTTTGGATATATTATGCAGATTTAAAATTTTTCTTTCCATAGCTTCTGACCCATATTTCCAACCTAATATTCTCCCAGTACTTCTGCTATGGATACCAAATGTTTAGCATATTTTCCTATACTCCTACCTGACTGATTTTCTTAGAATTATTTCTCACCTCATGTGATTATATGGAAGTAGATGTTAATGGTATATTGATATTCCCATGTGACTTGGCTCATGTGCTCATACCTGGACCAAAGTCTCTCTGGATGCAACATGGATTCTAAAGAGATGAAAAATTGGGCTTAGTGATGGTGGCTTCTTCTTCTTCTTCTTTTTTTTTTTTTGACAGGCAGAGTGGACAGTGAGAGAGAGAGACAGAGAGAAAGGTCTTCCTTTGCCGTTGGTTCACCCTCCAATGGCTGCCGCGGCTGGCGCGCTGCGGCCGGCGCACCGCGCTGATCCGATGGCAGGAGCCAGGTACTTATCCTGGTCTCCCATGGGGTGCAGGGCCCAAGGACTTGGGCCATCCTCCACTGCACTCCCGGGCCACAGCAGAGAGCTGGACTGGAAGAGGGGCAACCGGGACAGAATCCGGCACCCCGACCGGGACTAGAACCCAGTGTGCCGGCGCCGCAAGGCGGAGGATTAGCCTAGTGAGCTGCGGCGCCTGCTGATGGTGGCTACTTTGTAATACATGAACTTAGAAAGAGAAATCTGGACTCTATCAAGAAAACTAGTTAGTAGAACTGGATGAAGAGAATGAGTTTCCTGTTCAGTTGTTCTCAATTTGAACCAAGGTGCATTTCTGTTATTTAATTTTGTAAGATAGCTCTGTATACTTTAATTTTAAAATATTTTCATTTGTATAGGGTGAACAAATTTCATGTATTTCATATATACAGATTTGAGATCATGATAACACTTCCTACCCTACCTTCCCTCCTTCCTTCCCGCCCATGCTCTCACCCTCTCTCCTCCTTTCTTATTTTTTAATTTTTACAATGACATACTTTCAGTTTAGTTAGTGGAGGGTTAAGCTCGTGATTATAAAATAAAGAATTCAACAAGTTGTAAGTAGAAAGACCACTGTTCCTTGAGAGTATAGACAAGTGCTCTAAATAATAATTAAATCTCAAAATATCAATTTCACTCATATATATTACAGTTTTGTACTCTATATATTATTACCACAAATATGAGAAAACATGATATTTATCTTTTTGGGATGGGCCTATTTCACTAAGCATAATGGTTTCCAGTTGCATCCATTGTTGCAAAAGAGAGAATTTCATTTTTTTTATGGCTAAGTTCTTTAATTTATACTTTCTTGTTTAAGCTAGTTGGAGTTGGTGTACCAATTACCAGATTTTCATTTTCAAGCAACAGAAGTTAAGTGAATTTAAGTTTAGTTTTTGAGATCTTTTTGTTTCCTAGTTTTGTATTGTGCAATTCAACATTAAGACGTAAAAGAGGCATCAGGTGTAACAAAGTCTTTCTTCTTGTGAGAACCCCTCAGAATGTGTGCCCTGACACTTTATGGTTAATAGGAAATGATATCAAATAAATCTTTTAAAATACAACAATTAGAACAACATTTTATAATAAAAGCTATGTTAATGTGGGCTCTCTCTTTCTCAACAATATTTGATTTCACTTTTTATCTTTTCGCTTAAAGGGAGCTCTCTATTTCTTCTCTAGGGTATATCAGAATTGCCATCATTACTAACTCTTGTGCATTGGGGCCATTCTTAAGTGAAGTAGGGGCTGCTTAAAAACAAGCATTGCCATCTGTGACAATTGATCTGATAACTAAGACAGCTCCTAAAGGGTAGGCAGTGTATACAGCATGGATATGAAGGACAAAGGGATGATTCAATCTGCCCTTGTCATCAGCTTTTAAGAAAATCATCAGTATTGGGCTGGCGCTGTGGTGCAGTGGCTTAATGCCCTGGCCTAAAGCGCTGGCATCCCATGTGGGTGCCGGTTGGAGTCCCAGCTGCTCCATTTCCGATCCAGCTGTCTGCTATGGCCAAGGAAAGCAGTAGAAGATCCCCCAAGTCCTTGGGCCCCTGCACCCACATGGGAAACCCAGAAGAAGCTCCTGGCTCCTGGCTCCTGGCTTCGGATCAGCACAGCTCAGACCATTGCACCCAATTGGGGAGTGAACCATCGGATGGAAGACCCCCCCCCCCCTCTACCCTTCATCTCCTCTCCCTGTGTAACTCTGACTTTCAAATAAATAATTTAAAAAAATAGGAAATGATATCAATAAAGGAGTTGAAAAGTTACTACTCTTCTCTGTGGCTCCATCCACTTTCACAGTATTTTTCCCTCCCTTTTAGAAAGTCTTAAATTGAATAACCTGTATGTGTTAGAAGATAATAATCTCATATATATAAGACACACAAATTTGATTCTGGATTCTGGTACATCTGAAAATATTCATAAAACATAATTTCCCCATTATTTTTAAAGATTTATTTATTTAAAAGAAGAGAGAGAGGGAGAAAGAGAGAGAAATAGAATCTTCCATCCACTGGTTCACTCCCCAAATGGCTGCAATTGTTAGAGCCAGGCTGATCTGAATCCAGGAAACAGGAACTGCTTTTGGGTCTCCCACATAGGTGCAAGGGCCCAAGTACTTGGGCCATCTTCTTTCCCAGGCACATTAGCAGGGAACTGGATCTGAAGTGCAGCAACCGGAACTTGAATGGGTGCTCATGTGGGATGCCAGTGCCTCAGGGAGCAGCCTTACCTGTTACTTAAAACTCAAAGTGCAAGGAGAGTTTATTCTGGCTACATGTTATTACATCTGAGTTTTGCCATTTCCTTTCTTTTGATGGGGAGACAGTGTTTTCTTATGGATTGTACTGAAGACTAAGTGAAATAATTAACAGAAAGCTCAGAACTCAACGTCTGCTGTATTGTATATTCTTAGTAAAAATACACACCCTTGGTTTTTAACTCTATAATTGTAACATATTGTTCTATGTACTATTGAAACTGTAGTCCTACCTAGCTTTTCAACCTACTATCCATGGATTTTGGTAATATCAGAGTTGTTTACCTATTCTACTTTTGAATGCCAGTAGAAGAGGAGTCAGGGTATTTTTTTAAAAGATTTATTTTATTTATTTGAAAGACAGAGTTACAGAGAGAGGTAGAGACAGAGAGAGGTCTTCCATCCACTGGTTCACTCCCCAGATGGTCTCAATGGCTGGAGCTGTGCTGATCCAAAGCCAGGACCCAGGAGCTTCTTCTGGGTCTCCCATGTGAGTACAGGGGCCCAAGGACTTGGGCCATCTGCTACTGCTATCCCAGGCCATAGCAGAGAGCTGGATCGAAAGAGGAGCAGCCAAGACTAGAACCAGTGCCCATATGGGATGCTGGCACTTCAGGCCAGGGTGTTAACCCTCTGTGCCACAGAGCCGGCCCAGGAGTCAGACTCTTAAAATCTGATAATGATGCACTGAGGTCCCAAAGAGGAGGAAAAGGAAAACTTCTTCCTCTTGCAACCTTCCAAAACAAACACAAAAAACCATGATCACAAGATGCCTAAATACAGATTCATTTGAAAAGATTTTAATTTTTAAAATTCTCACCAATCATTTCCATGAGCAACTTGAACTAACTATATGGTGGAGTTAGAATCATGCCAGGGGATTCCAATACAATCCCATCAAGGTGGCATGTACCAATGCCATCTCACTAGTCCCAATAATCAATTTCAGTTCACAGTTGATCACACTGATAGGTCTAAGAGTCAAAGGGATCACACAAACAAGTCTAGTGTCTGCTAATACTAGCTGATAGAATCAAAAAGGGAGAGAACGATCCATCATGGGAAGCAGGATACACAGCAGACTCATAGAATGGCAGATGTCCTAAACAGCACTCTGGCCTCAGAATCAGCCCTTAAGGCATTCAGATCTGGCTGAAGAGCCCATGAGAGTATTTTAGGCATGGAAAGCCAAGACACCCTGGAAAAAAAAAAAAAAGGAAGACCTAAATGGAAGATCTCTGTGAGATCCCAGTGGAAAGAACAGGTCTTCAAAGAAGGAGGTACCTTTCTCTAAAGGGAGGAGAGAACTTCCACTTTGACTATGACCCTGTCTGAGTAAGATCAAAGTCAGCGAACTCAAAAGGCTTCCATAGCCTTGGCAACTCATGACTAGAGCCTCAGGTGATTACTGACGCCATAAACAAGAGTGTCAAATTGTTAAGTCAACAACAGGAGTCACTGTGTACTTACTCCTCATGTGGGATCTGTCCTTAGTGTGTTGTCCAATGTGAATTAATGCTATAACTAGTACTGAAACAGTATTTTACACTTTGTGTTTCTGTGTGGGTGCAAATGGATGAAATTTTTCCTTAATATATACTGAATTGATATTCTGTATATAAAGATAATTGAAAATGAATCTTGCTGTGAATGGAATGGGAGAAGAAGCAGGAGATGGGAGGGGTGTGAGTGGGAGGTAATTATGGGGGGGAGCCATTGTAATCCATTAACTGTACTTTGAAAATTTATATTTACTAAATAAAAAAGAAAAAAAGAACACTAGATTCATTAAAAAAATATGATGTAAAGTAACAACTTATAGTCCAGCTTGAATCTCAGACAGAAACTCTTTCCCAGCATTTCTGTCTAAATGACTGCCCCAGAAACTTTGCATTTCCTTCACACTGTTTTTCCCTGAAACTTGTGGGACCCACTGTTGGTACTCAAATATGTATTCAACTATATACTTCCCAAGATGTACTGGTTCTAATTTGCCATGGCTACTGCATTCTAACAATACATTCAGATACAGCCCCTGCTTCACCACAGAGAGTAATATGTATTCATTTATCTGCTGCTGCTGATCCACAGTTGACCCTCAATGTCTGGATTTTAAGAGATTGTGACCAACTGTGACCAATTTTGTTTGTGAAGAGGGAGACTGGCTTTCTTGTAGGGAGGTTGGAATCTAGTGATTTGCCTCTCTGTCTTCTTATACAAGACCCAACCATGTTTACCCTTTTAGCAGCCTCTCTTCTCTGTCTCAGGTATTATAGCACTGTCCTTCTGCTTAGTAAAACAAGGACTGCTAATCTTGTAGGGACTGCTGACAGCTTGTTGGAGGTGCCAGGCTCTACAGGAGCAAGGCAGGCACTCTCCCCTCTGAGTGGCTTCATGACTCTTCTTCTGGACTGCTTTTTGAAAATCACAGTAAAAAAATCAGTTATCTCATATCTCATTTTTACTGCCACTTTGAGTCAGGAAGAGCTTATTTTTGTTTTATATTAGGATTATGAATCAAATTTTCTTCAATTAAATTTTTTCTTTTGTAATTTAATCTTTTTAAATCACTTCTGCCAAGATCTTTTCATTAGAAGGTGGTCACTAGATTCAGTTCACACTCAAAGAGAGGGAAACAGACAAGGGAATACATGACAGGAAGCAGGGGTCCTTGAGAGTCATTGTAGAAGTTGCTGGTGCATTGCTCATAAAAGTTTGGATATTGTTTCTATCCCTTCTTTATGCTCTTGTGGAACAGTGGTTTTTCTACTTACTACTTGTTGAATTATTTATTTGATAGAGCAATAAGCTTGGGATTATAAAGTAAATTGGAAGTGGATCATTGTAAAAATTAAAAGAAAATAAGAGGGGCTGGCACTATGGCATAGCGGGTAAAGCTGCTGCCTGCAGTGCCAGCATCCCATATGAGTGCTGGTTCAAGTCTTGGCTGCTCCACTTCTGATCCAGCTCTCTGCTATGGCCTGGGAAAGCAGTAGAAGACCTGCACCCACGTGGGAGACCTGGAAGAAGCTCCTGGCTCCTTGCTTCAGATCAGCACAGCTACAGATGTTGTGGCCAATTGGGGAGTGAACCAGTGGATGGAAGACCTCTCTCTCTCTGCCTCTCTGCCTCTCTCCGTGTAACTCTTTCAAATAAACAAATAAATCTTATAAAGAAAAGAAAATAAGAAAGGAAAGAGGAGGGAGGGTAGGAGTGAGGGAGGAAAGGAATATAGGGAGGGAAGTCACTCTTTTCATATATCTATATGAAATTTGTTCCCTTTATATAAACAAAA